CTTTATAATACAGTAAAACGTCCCACATTTGCGCTTCCCACATCTGCGCGCGTCCCATATCTTCGCTTGTTTCCGTCCCACATCTTCGCGTATTCGAGAGGGTTAGCTCCCCACCACCGCCGCATTGTCGCCCAGGGCCGTTAAGCACATTCGTGCACCCCGTGAATCGCGCTCAGGGCTGAAACGTAAAGTTTTTCACCCCATGCAAAAAATTGTTTACAGAAAATCCTACATATTTAATTTATGTAAGAGTTTAGTGGTATTCAATGTTAGATGGTTATGTGTAAATTCTAAATAAATTCATTATTAATAATTAAAGTTAAACATTTCAACATGAAATTATAATTTGTCCTTCTACAGTTTGAAAATAAATCCACGCATTACGCAGAATTAATTATTCTTTTTAATTAATTATTAACAATATTTAAACAATTATAATTATGTATGGAAGAAGGAAAAGGTAAACAATATGCAAAAGACATTTCAGGTTAATATTTTTATAGAAATTCAATCATATTAACCTATTTAACATTTCATCGATTGCTACAGATTGAACTTTATCCAACGCCGCTAGCAGTGCTCTGTCTGCACCTGGCTTCGATGCTAACCACTTATATAATCCATTAAGCGCATTGTATGCATCATTATTAGACATGCTTGTTTCCTCGTTGCTGGTGTCTTCTGCGTCTTCTTCTGCATCTTCGCCATGCTCATTAAGGACGACATTGACTGGCTCAATGTTATGTAAGACGGAGTCTGTGATTTCCTCGAGTGTCAAAATTCTCCATCCCGGATCATGATTATCTACTTGGAGCCATTCGTTCGTCTCCGTCAGAGTAACCCTTTCCGACGATAGCTGACTAGTCAGATGTTGGAGAGCTCCAATGTCCTCGTCGTTATCAGTAGGTAATGATTCGCCTTGGAGAGCTTTCTTCCAGGCGTTCCGAAGAGTTTGTTCCGAAACCGAATCCCAGGCCATTGCGACTGTTCGAACGCAATCCAAAATCGTCCATTTCTTCACTAGCACCTCAAGGTTCGCAATCAGGTGGCCTTCGGTTGAAGAAAGCAATTTTCGGCAATATTCTTTACGGTACGCTCTTTTTGTGCACTCGATGACGCCTTGGTCCATCGGTTGAATGAGAGCCGTTACATTGGGTGGTAAAAATACCACCGTACAATGCGGATATAGCTCCGTCAGTTCTTCAGCCGATGGATGCGACCTCGCGTTGTCGAGAAGCAAGATTAGTTTCTCGATCTTCCCGTTCTTCTTCTCCACAGCAGGGATGAACGTCGTAGTAAACCACTCCTTAAATATTGAGCGGTCCATCCATGCGTTTGTTTGGTTAACATACTGCACCGGGAGTATGTTAACATTTTTGAAGGCCCGCGGATGCTTCGCCTTTCCTATCACCAGCAGCGGAACTTTATGCGTTCCCGTTGCATTGGCGCATGTCATTACGGTGACTCGTTCCTTCGCAAGTTTGTGTCCCGGAGCCGAATGTTCGTTGCGTGGAGCCAACGTTTTCCTTGGAAGACATTTCCAAAATAAACCTGTCTCGTCAGCATTATAGACGTTGTCGACGGACCCTCCTTCGATTTCGATGAAGCTGCTAAATATCTTCGTAAACTCATCGCTAGCCACAGCATCACTCGATAGCCTCTCTCCGTCTACGCGTATCATCCGGATTCCATGCCGCTGCTGGAACTTCCTCAGCCACCCAGTACTGGCTTTAAAATTGGGGCGTCCCAGTGTTTCGGCCAATGTGCTCGCCTTGTTCATTAGAAGGAACCCGGAGATCGGAAACCCAGTGTCTCGCTGCTGAATGAACCATGTATAAATGATCTTTTCGAAGTCAGACCCGACGACACCGGTGTAGCGCTTCCTTTTCAGTGACCCTTGTTGGTCTAAAAGGGAACACTTCTTCTTCACGATGTTCTCCTTCGTCTTTTTCAGCACTTGCATGGTGCGTATGCTGACACCAAACTCCGCAGCGAGGCTCGAACACAACTCCCCATCACCCATGCGTTTGACGATGTCGAGCTTTTGGTCATGTTCAGCCACTTGTGGACCTTTTGCGCCTTCTGTTATCGCGACGAGAGACATTTAGCTTTTTCTCCTAACAATTATGCGGGCGACATATACAACATACCTTCTTCTTTCCTGTCCGATCTTTCATCGTCTCGGCAAACTCCTCTCGAAATATCGTCTCGGTGAAATGATATGTAATATCAACAAGAACGCGGCACTCGAAAATTTGATAATTGCAGGTTATTATGTTAAATCTGACAAGCAATCCGATTTCCGAAGGGCTCACGAAGCCGCACGAGTACAGATGGCGTGCAATGCTGCGCGAGCACCGTCCGAAAAGTGGGGGAACCGGCGACGGAGGAGAAAAACGCAGATGTTGGGTCACTTCCGGTCCCGACCGGCGCAGATGTGGGACGTTTTACTGTAATACTAAAATTTAGTTTCATTAACATGATCGTTTAGTATACTAAATCAGAATCATCTGGTAAATCCTAAAGGAATTCTGATTCGTCCATTTTCCAACAGACATACTGGTTAAATCTACCAGATTTCCAATTAAAGCAACCAGATATTTTTTTCAGTGCACGAACTGAACGGTCAACGGTCACGAACTAAACACGCATGAACACGCACGACATTCTTCTTCTTCTCTGGTTACTGGCTCCCGGCTAACAGACACTGAGCCGACACGGCCACGTC